AGTGCTGTTTTGTTAATTGGTCGAATAATCTAATTTAATCCCGAAACACGAGCTTATTAACCATCCCCTATCCTCTCAAAGTCTTGCGCCCCAGTTTTGCAGATATTTCAAAGTTTCTCATAAACCTCTAAGTTATTCCCTTTTTTCATATTTCGTTCTAGGACTGACCTTGACCGAGATCATCATTGTTTCAGCCACTGGATCAGTTCTTCTGTTCGTGGCAGTGGTTTTGGGGGTCATGCTGTTTAGGAGACACAGTGAGTGGCTAAGCAGTACATAATAAAAGTGTTAATTGAGTTAAAATATTAAAAGCCCTGCTGCACACTTCTCTTGTCACACTGTTAAGTGCTTCAACACTTCCTGAGCAGACTGGCCCTTTCACAACTTCTCGTAGCCGCCGTTGTCCAATGGTACATCCAATCACAGACACCCGACTTGCTGCAACACATAAAAAAATTCCACATCCACTGGGAAGCAGCATATATTTTTTGCAACTAGAGGAGAATCATGTACAAGGTAGAGAAAAGAAAGAATCAACCTGTTTAACAGCCGAAAGTTATGGCTTAGAAATCTTTCAAATAGATGGATATTCCAAGTGATGCTTCTTTAATCAGCCCATTTGTGTTAAGGAAAGCTCTTCAGCAAGACCATCTGAAACTCGGAGTCCTTGGACGTGGTTGCTAGTCGCCAGGAGAGCCTACCCGCCAACCAAAGAGTGCGAGGACACTGCTTCCGGGGACGAGGCATTACTGAAATGTAATGGTTCCCAGAAATGAGAATAGACAGTTTATAAGCCCTCTGCACCATGATAGTCCAAGAAAACGCAGTGTTTAGATATGCTACCACAAACCTAATAGACTGCCGACAAGGTACATAGCTAATTATTATTTTGTCTTCTTTTGCCTTCAGGGGGTCGCAAATTAAAAGATCCAGACGAACATGACATAACTCCTTATGCAACAATTCACATCAGCGGAATCAGGGTTGGACAAAATATAGAGAAAAACTGTTATGGACAAGCAGGAATGTATGAAAACCCACTCATAACATTGCCTTTCTACGCGAGAATTCCCCCAAGAGACAGTCCATCGCGACTGCTACGAAAATTTCGCAACTCACCGTATGAAAATATTAACCAACTTGGAAGACCGTTCGCAAATCCCCTCGAATATTTGTTTTTCCAACCTCGATATGAAAATGAGGCTGACGATGGACCATGCGATGTTCTAATTCTTAAGCCTGGGTACGACAAGCTGAGGCCTGGTATAAGACGAAAAACGCTGGAAAATCCGGTGCCATTTAAGCGCTCGATAAGTGGCGGAGTCAATAAAAGTGGGATGCCTGTGTACGATTCTATCATACAGGATGCCTGTGGGATACCTGTCCACGATTCTGTCATACGGGAGTTCGAACTTTCGTGTCGAAAAATTGATTCAACTGAGAGCAATCTGGACGAGATTGGCACAATTCTTGAAATCGATTCATGCGATGAGTGTAGTCAGGCAGATACACAAGACAGCGGAGCTGAACACAGCGACGATGCGGTCTCGACACAAGACGTTGATTTAAGATGCTTGGGTACCGACTGTGATGCGCAACTACATCCACTTGGGTCGAGTTGTGCAAAAGAAGCGGGAACTTCGTGTTCTCAAGCTGCACTACACATGCAAGATCAAACGGGTTTATTTGGGTTTTACAACAGTAACCTTACACAGGACCACGATGCTTAAACAGGAAACAGTACTTATGATGACGTAGCAATGAGCAATAACCACTTCACCAACAGAAATACACAAAATTTGTAAAATACTGAAACAAAAAAACAGCAATATTTGTAAAATATGAAAAAACGGGACCGCGAGAAAGAATAACAGGATAACTGAGTACAATGGTCCGGATTTAAAAATTATAACCACCTCTCCAGAACCTTTTCAATTGATTGGTCACACTTCACGATTTTATGCACAAACCAAAGATAAACAAATGCTGCCACGTAAAAGTACTATTGAACAACTTTCTTTTGTATGATCACACCATAGGATTTCAATCACAGACTCTGAAGTTAGAATCACGTACAAAACAAACTGTATCACATGAAAGTACTGCTGGAGAGGTTTTATTTGAATGATCACACCTTCGATCCCATAAACGGTCTTAAAGGTTAGCCACCCTTTTCTGCATAATACTCAGAAGTACAAAGAAGTTATTCTCAGTATCTTTATTCCAATATTTTATTTCAGTAATCACGCCTTAGAATTCCATTCGCAGGTTGATACTTAAGACCTACTGTGCAGGGTACCACTAGAATGTAATCCTCGGTCACTATTTTTTTTTAAAGGTCACGAGTTAGGGTATTAACCAGATTAGTAGCCTGCAAGCAAGCTCTCCATTTGGGGGATATTGTGAAAAGTACACGCGCGAGAGGCACGCGGGAGGAGACGCGACTACGGCTCCTCGCGGCTTCGCCGCTCGCTCGCGCGTTCTCGCGTGGCTCGCTTCGCTCGCCCAAATACGAGAGCTTGCTCGCAGGCTACCAGATTAGAAGTTGTAACCACAGTCTACACGATGAGTTACAAGCTCAGTTTTGCTTGCTTCCACTGAGGTTTCAAAATGTACAGAATTGTCTTCATATTGAAGACGAATTAAAAACAATTTCACATTCCATTGAAGTTTTCACTTTACAGAAAAGATAATAAATATTTGTTTACAACCATCTGGGTTTATAGGTTTTAAATAAATAATTAATCCCAAACATGTGCAATACCAGATAAAGATTAGTTGCATACAAATTATCTTGACGTTGATTGCATGTCATTAAATATATACACTTCACAAAAGCGACAAAAATAAATATTTTATACAGCGACATATTCGGTTAAAGTTCCCCCTCGACTATTACGTACAGGCAAAAGCCATGTAGAAAATATTGAACCACATAATGGATTTTTCAAAACAAATGGGGCACTGGTTCTTCTCAGTAGTTTTCTTTTAACGCCCAAGAACATTCAATAGGCCACTTCCGAGTTCCAAAAACCCTCACTTTCAAAATGAGGCTAGGTGCACAACCTTTCTTGTGAAAATTAGTTTTATTTGCCTGAGAATGAAAAATGTTTTCCATATCAAAGGCTGAGCACCTACCCATTGGGTAAAGAAACTAAGTACTGACTTCAGCACAGAATTGACTTAAGACAGCAAAATCCTCGTGACATAGCCCCTTCAAACAGCACCAGCGACAGCACCGCCGTTTTCTGAGAGAGGCATCAAAACTTTCATCTGATTCTGAGTAAGCTGGGTAATGGTACGAGAGCGCTTTGAGGAGGGGGAGGGGGAGGGGGAGGGGGTACCCCACCACGATCTTACACTTCCCTTTCTTATGCTATCGGGTCGTACACAGGCCTCCTCATCCCGGACCACGCTTGACATTGGCGAGTCCAAACAAGCGGTCACCATCGCTGGATGAGCGCTGAGTAACTCCAGGATTTTAACCGGTTCGGGTCTATGATCCGGGTCTTTTCTCCAGCACTCTGTCAGTAATGTGTTTCTAGAGTAAAAGCAGAGAATGTCAAAGATCATGAAAGGAATAAAATTTTCAAAATGCTGCTCACTACGAGTAAGGGCATTTCAAAGAAATTCCAAATTTTAAAACACACAAGAAAGATGTTATTCAGTCAGTGACACATCTCGACTAGTAACTAGAAGGTCATAAGTTCGACTCTTACGGAGAGTACTTGGATTTTTTCTTCCGAGCCGCCTGTGGCACGGACTGAAAAATCATCTTTCTCATGTATTCACCAGGCTTAAAATTCACCATCTCATCTCTATCACTTGAAATACAGTTATTAGAGTGATTAGTTTCATACATGCTGAGTTGATCTTTCACTGTTTCTTTATGTGAGTATGTGATCATTCGCTATGAAACATTTAGATGAAATAAAGACCAACCTAGTAAATAATGTGATTTTAGTTTTGGCATCATTGGCAAATTTATCTATCCAAAAAATAGTGAAGGCATGAAACTTACAGTTCATTGGTGCATCCTCGAGGCTCATCCATGCTTCTTCCCAGTCTCACACTTTCCACTACCTCTCCGTTGGAAAGGCCCTGGTAAGGAAAGCTACCAAATGTCGCTAACTCCCACAATGTCACGCCCAGGCTCCAGACGTCAGATTTTGTCGTGAACACACCATCCGCGAGGGACTCGGGTGCCATCCAGCGAACGGGAAGCATGGCTGTAAGTTAAAGGGGCTATAATGTCACGCTATTTACTATCTTTTTAAAAAGCTGAATAGTGTCTTCGCATCAATTGAATTCCAAAAATAATGGTCCAGTTTTGTTATTTAAAACTTAAATAGGCACTGAAACTGTTTCCTGTCGTCTCTTGCAACAGATGGCAAGGATGGAATTTCAAGTTTTATTGCTATGCTTGCAAGAATCACAAAATACCAATAATTATGGTTAGCACTCCCTGACGAATTAAATTTGTTTGATCTCCTCATCATATCTTCAAAGGAGCATTTTGTGAAAGGTTAAAAGCACAAAGTAATGACTTCAGCACAAAAGACGGAGCAATTTCTCACGGTGCGCAAAGCAATAGAGTAATTTGAGCAACCTTTCGAGCGACCTTGATAATTGTCAACCCCATCGTGCCACAAGTCCCTGTCAGTCCCTGTCAGCCCCTGTCAGCCCCAACGGTTCGGTAGCCCCACAACCCCCCTCCTCCCCCGCCGCCAGCCAGCCTCCAGCCAGCCCCATAGTCCAGCAAGTAGCACATTACGAACCTGTGAAAAGGACTCAGCAAAGGATCGGAAAGGTATCTCATAAAATAAGAACATGGTAAAATATTCGCTTTACCTTTCCGTCCGAATCTGTAGTAATCTGAGTCATACATGGCTCGTGCCATTCCAAAGTCTCCAAGTTTAACCACATATCCTGAACCCATCATACAATTCCTTAAAGCAAGGTCGCTAATAAAACACAAAAGATAAAAATTACTTTTAGGTTAAGTGATAAATAATATCCTTGGAAAAACAGAGGAATTAAATGTCATCATTAGATGTCTCCATTGAACAGGCAAAGAGATCTACACAGGATAAGAGTGATTTTGCTGCACTGGTCGACCTAGCCTGCGAGCAAGCTCTCCTATTTGGGCGAGCGAGCGGCGAAGCCGCGAGGCTCGCCCAAATAGGAGACCTTGCTCGCAGGCTATGGTCGACCATGTTTTTGCCAGTGCAACTCCATGGTAACAGGTTTACCGTCTTGGAGGATTTTTACTGTACTGTACTGTAGGGTCGTTTCAATAGATCCTATTCATACAGGGCACAAGATTTAAAATTGTTTTATAGTAATGTTAATAGACCATTTCTGCTTCACCAAAAGCCTCTTTTTCAAACCAACCTTTCGATGAAAATAAGTTTTTATTCACATGCAAGTTAAACTCATTTTAATATAAAGGGTTACGCACTTACCCGTTCGCAAAATACTTTGGATGAAGTAACTGAACTGTGTTTGCCTCGAGGTAGCGGCCTTGCCGCGAACCGTCAAGAATAGCCTACGTTCGATATATTAAAATTGTAACATGACTCTGAGGCTTTATGGTTAATTTTTTTATTTGGTTTGGTTCTCTTTGTGCTCAAGTCTCTTCCGAGAATTGCCAGACAATGGAGTCTTGAAAAAATAGCAGTTTTGTCCGTAAAGCCTCGGAGTCATGTTAGAATTCTAACATATCGTACAAAAGCTATTAGGCAGGGAAAAAAACCCCTGGCACCCATGGTATTATGCAACATGCCAATTTGACGAAGAGGATAAGAAATGAGAAATGAACTTTAACTTAACTGGTCTCATATTAAAGTAAAAAAATATTTTGAATTTCGCACATCCTTAAGAGGCCAGCGGGGCTTATTATAATTAGGAAAAATATAAAAGAACCAATGACTAAATAAGGTCTATACATACCGATGAATAAACTTCATTTCAGCGAGGTAAGCAAGACCGTTTGTGATATCTGTCGCCATCATAGTCAGCTTGGTAGGAGTAACATCATCCGCCTGAAAGATTATAAGCTTATCGGTTGGATAGGAGCCTTGGTAAGACCAGGGGAAGCAGGCAGTAACCAGGTTTTGATAGAATTAATACATCTCGGAGTATTCCTACACACCCATCCCAACCCTAAAAGTGATGGTGTCCATTGAAGGGACACACCCAGATGTTACTCACTGGTAACCTTATCTACACCGTCCATAAGGTGCACAAGGCTATGTATGAGACCAAACAGGACCAAAAATTGACGTCAACCATCGAATGCCGATAGGATTTTAGATTCGAGGACGGGAACGAGTACGAGTACGAGATTTGATTTAAAGCTTTTTTTTTTTCGCGCATTGTCAAAAAATAGACACCCCGGAATGCTTCATTGTACTTTTTTTCACCAAAAAAGTTAGTTATCTTTATTGGAGGAGGTTAAACCCTCTCCCGATCGCATCCGATAACTTACTTCGCCACTACGACATGTTTTCCCGCCAAAATGACGCTGGTTCACGAGCGAGTACTAGTTAGTATTAAGAAAATCTCGTACTCGTTGTCGTACTCGTCTGAGAATCTAAAGCTCTCTAATAGAAAAGTATTGGACGACTGACGTCATGAAACTCAACATTTTGGGCAGTGCAGAGCTCGGGAAGATGGCTATAGATGTTACACGCTGTGCAAAGACAAAAAAGGCGAATTACTGCCTCAAAAACATTAACCTGCGGGCAGGTATTTCTTTCTGGCATGGCTTTGAACATTTACAAAGTCGTTCGCGTGCAGAGAGAAACCTCTGCTCGCTGAGTACAAAAACATGGCATGAGTACACAAAAGTACCATTTTAAGAAAGTGAAAATACAGCGCAAAACACCTAGACAGTCGGGTAAGTTTTGACGTTTTTCAACACTAAGATTATACATAGGTACCTCTTTACAGTTTTGATTTGCGAATTGACGCCTTGCTAAAAGGAAGTTTTTCAAATCACCTGCAATGCAAGAAATTAGTGGAAATAAATAACAATGGAAAATGAATTAAACTCGGTGTCTTATATTCTGCGTTTATCGCCCTTTACCAGTTTATTCTAGCTCTAATATAGACTGAGAAAACAGCCGACATTTAGCGACGCCACCACTAGTTTCCCCGCGAAATGACGTCTGAGAAACAAACTCGGGAATTCCATACTGATGATGCGTCACTATCCAGATCTAGGTAGTGCTTTTGTTTGGTTGAAGCAAATTTCCCTCGCTCCACGGCCAATCAGAAGCACTACCCAGACATCGGGAATTCCATACTGATGATGCGTCACTATCCAGATCTAGGTAGTGCTTTTGTTTGGTTGAAGCAAATTTCCCTCGCGCCACGGCCAATCAGAAGCACTACCCAGACGGCATTTTGCGGGGAAACCAGTGATGGTGTCGCGAAATGTCGGCTCTTTTCCCAGGCTAGCTCTAATAAATATTTAGTTTAACACGGTAAACTCATTAGGATAACAAAGATAAAAAACAGAGAAAAAAAGGGGTTAAAATTATTTATACAAGTTGGCGAATGGAATGATAGCCTCCCCGCAGACGCCCTTTGGGGTTCGTTCGTTCCCCCCACGAGGGGGAGAAACGAATGCGTGACGAACGAACCCCAAAGGACGTCTTCGGGGAGGCTAATGGAGTGACGCATTCAAATGAAAATTCTGAGAATCATTACGCTACGCGTGCAGTTGTCCTGTTTCATACCGTGTATCATTAGTTCCATGACAGCGTAGGCAGGCTCTCCCTTTGTGCAAACACCCAACAGCTTTACAATGTTTTTGTGATCAAACACCTTCATAGTTTCCGCCTCACTTAAAAATTCAAGCTACAAAAAAGAACGGACGCCATTGAAATAAATACTACAAGTAATCAAATACAGGCGACGGAGCATAATGAAGTCACTTTCCGTCTCTTCAGCCTTTAAACGCCTTCTATCTCTTTAACGCCCCAGCCTGGACCCCTATACTTACATAGACGCCCCGGGCGTTTATTAGATCATTTACGGTAATTTAGCTTTCGCAAATGTGTCTCGTTTGAGCGCGGAGAACAGAAGACTACATACCTTGTCTTCAGGTAAAGAGCCAATTTTCAGAGATTTAACAGCCACTGGTACCCATTCTCCGTCGCCCCCGATACCTATCACTTCACCGCCGCACACCGCACCAAAAGCTCCTTCACCAAGTTTGCGATTGAGGACGATACTCTCGCGGGGGATCTCCCACTCATCCAAGCGTAGAACTGGCGAGTGTTCCATCAAGCCTAACTCCTCCATGCGCTGTTGGGTTTCCCTATACTTACTATCGTATCTAGGAAAAAGAAAGTTAGTGATCTTATGTGAGCCACGACGAATGAATATGAGAACAACGCGGAATGGCTAATAGTTTTCACTGCTGAAGTTTGTGGGTGAGATGCCATTGCGGCACCATTCAAATGAACACTCTTCGGCAGCACTTTCACATTGTTCT